TACCAGACTGGATCAAAGATATCGCCACAGTAGACTGCAGAGGTTGACTGTATTCAGTCTTTCTACGCTCCAGCAACGCATGGACAGAATGCACGTATTCTCCGAACACTGGGAATGCCAATGTTTGTTGATAGTACTACGCGGGTTTGTTGCACTCAACATGAGTATCATGCTACCCCGGCCCTGTCCAAGAACGGAGCAATCTACGCATGGCTGCCCCTACGGTATCGCAGCAACGCAGAGCCGAGTTGAACTATGATTAAAATATACGTAGGTACGAAGGCTCATTGTAGTGGGGTCCCTTGTAAAAAAAATAATCGGTGCAAGGTAAAGACGCACAGAAGGAAAATAAAAACAAGCGCAGAATGGATCTGACGCGGATAATGGATAAAATTGCCGACCTCCTATCTTACCCTACAGAAAATAGAATAGAGCAGACAATTCCGAACCATGGCCAATTTCGAAAACCCGTACGAGCCAGCGGAGAAAGAAAGAATAGACAGAACACCCAGACCAAGCAGAAACAGTGTATAGATATGAGAAGGGGAGTGGATAGAGAACACGAAAAGGTGCTTGGGAAATGTAGAGAATTGACATGGTTGAAGGGCAAGTGAAAGTGGAAGAAAAAAATTATACAACAAAAACTAACAAAGAAACAAAACCACTAACTTTTTGTATAAGAAGAAAACCCATTTGTCGTGATCTCCTCAGTACTTTGCTGTTTTCCGCATTTGTCGTTAGAAACCGAACCCCATTTAATAAGCTAACGAGTAAGGCGCCCAGAAACGATGACCCATAGAAACAGAACACCAAGCAAAGCAAACAGGGAAAAGATCTGGTGGTGGTGGTGGTGGAGGCACTTGATACGGTTCCACCCTCCTCTTGAAAACCCCCTCCGTCAAGACGTTTTTGTCCTGGAGCCGCGAGCTACGAGGAATCGCCACCGGGAATCCCACCCAGAAAGAAAAGGAGAAACAGGATCGAAGAAAGGAAACGCTACCACCCATACAAGGAAATTGATACAGAATTAAGGGAGGTGAACCCCCCCAAAAAACAAATGAGCCGCGAATATCACGGGCAAAGTGAAAAAGATGAAGGGATGACAGACGCCGAATGTTGAGAACCAACAAATAGTGCTCATACTAAGCCAATCCCACTTTCGCCAGAACCAGCAACAGCTATGACACCCCCTGGTGGTGGAGCTGTTGCGGGATGGATAGAATGTGCTCGATGATACTTGAGGCCGTTGAGATTCTTGTATCGTTTGCCGCAAAGTTCGCACTGATAAGGCTTCTCTTTCTCCATGCCTAATGTACCGGGGTACGGCGCCGACGTCTCGGGATTGACGATAGAGTATGTTCCATCTGAATTGGCAAAAAGTTGTTGGTTGGTGTGTCCATGCTGGCAAAACTGTTATTATTATTCCGCATTTGTTAACTCTAGGAGGTGATATACATACAGATTTATGGTATTTGAGGCCATTCTGGTTTTTGTATGCCTTCTCACAACCGATAACGGGACACTTAAAGGGCTTGTCCTCTTGCTGAGGGCCTTGGGAGCCTTGGGAGCCTTGGGAACCTTGAGCACCAGGATGAACACCTTGAGCTGTCCAAACATTAGTCACGGAGTATGCAGAATATTCCAAATTCACTACTTACCGCCACCAGAAATTAACATATGCAACTGCTGTTGTGTGTACCCCCCACTCATCGCTTGTCCCCCAGGGCTGAAGAGACGTTTGGCGGGTTCGTCGATGCACAAATCAAGTGACATGTCAGCCCTATTCTCGAATGAGGTGTTGTTATTGTTGAAACCATTATTTTGAACGCCCACGACGCCTTGCATGTTGCTCATGTTAGAAGGGAATGAGTATTCTAACTGGTCCATAGCAAGTGGAGTACCCGGGCCAGAAGACTCGGGCGAGAAATGAGAAGGCTGCTGGTTAATGTTAAGATTAGAGAGTTGAGCATGTGGCAGATTCGGAGTGTTCTGATATGAGGGATGGCTATGCGTAGAGGGTGTGGGTGGATGCGAGGGGTATTGATTATGGCTCTGCGGGGTAAGTGGGCCCGCGTTAGGCGGGGGGGTCATTTCCTCGTCGTCCATTTCCATGTCACCGGCAATCTCTCCGTCCTGTTCCTCCTCCTCCCTCATATCTTGACTGCTCGCTTCTGCTGACTGTTGCTGTTGTTGCTTCAGTCGCTGAAGTTGCTGTTGTTGCATCATACCCAGCTGTATACCACCCATTCCACTAATAGGACTTGTCATACCACTGGCGTCTCGCCTCTGGGGGCGGTGGATCTGCCCGTGTTGCCGCTCAAGCTCATGACCGGAGACACCGCTCTCATCCCGACGTACAGGTCCGGTTTGTTGTGCGTGAAACTCCTCATAATGCCTTAGGAGATCATGTAAAGAGGGAAGTGGCAAACCACAGCAAGAAAAATCTCGGCAAAACTCGGCTTCGAGCTTCGGAAGATATGACGAAGAGTGGAAAGAAGGAGAATTGAATGTGAATGGTGAGGTGCCCGCCATGATGATGCTACAGAAAGGTGTTAAAAATTGTTATGGTGGTTTAGAACGGGTAAAGAAGTGTTGAGGGACAGAGGGGAGAATAAGGGTTTATAAGCATAGCTAGGAAGCAATGAGATGGCAAGAGTGATAAACCCATAATGCTTAGGAAGCATAGATAAATCGCCAAGTATCATACAGGTGTTCACATCAAACTTTATTTCGGGGAAATAACTTACTCGTCTCTTATCCAACTTCCAACACTTACAGCGCCCCAGCTCATGGCACCAGCGCCCATCAAGCTTCTAGCCATATCACTATTCACCATACTCTCTCGCCTCAATCTATTTGACACCGGGATACCATTACTATGTGATACGCTGCCAGCTCGGGCCTCTGGAGCGGCATAACCTGTGCCTTCGGCCGCTCGTAGCTGACTAGTAAGATTCGATTTGGGTTGATGGGGTTGTGGCCGAGAAGTGATATCGATTGGAGCGGGCATCCTGTTGAATGCAGGCTCTGGCGTGGATCTGTGGGTTGGTGGTGGTGTTAGATTCTCGTTGCGAGACACAAGGTCGCCGAAGGGAGCGGTGGAATGGGAGCTCTCGCTCGAGCAGGTAGGACTCAAAGGTGTTCCGAGGAAATCCGTGGTGGGCGGCGGAAGGAAAATGACTGCTCTAAAGCTGTAAAGCTTTTGTTTGTTCGGGGGAAGTGGGTTGTGAGTCTACAGGAAGCGCGATGGAGACCAGAGTGTGCTGGTCGTATGATAATTGCGAGCCGAGGAGTTGGGGAAATGTGTTTGTGTTGCAACCGGTGGAACGCTTAAGAAGAGATGTTTGGGGGGGGTGGGGAGGGGAGGTCCTTTTGGGGAAGAGTGGCGGGTTCGGGTTACTAAGACAGCAGTGGAAGCCTGGTTGGCGTCAAGTACCAGCGGAGCGGTCAAGGGTGAAGGGTCGGGGATTGCCAGGACTAAATAAGTGGTGCTGGTGGGATGGAGGCTTTCGGTGGAAGAGTAGCCGGAACCGATGTCGAGCGGCGAGCTGAAAGGCTAGTGGGGCGGGCAGCTCGTTGCAGTCGCCCGCTCAGCAGTAAGTTAGAGAGTCGAGTATCGTCGCACAGACGTGCGTGTCTTATAGAAGCGACAAATGTGGCCGTAGCAGATGATGCTGTGATGGTGTAGGTGGTGGTGATGATGATGATGATGGGCAAGCGAGGTGGAGGCAGAAGAAATATGAAGTACTAGGAGAGTAACCGGCAGCACGTATCATACCAACACCCGCGACAACCAGAAAGGAGGAATATGGGGAGCAGACTAGGTGGGGTTACGAAGGGGTCCGTCCCTTCTCGCGAGCAGATGAATTACACCAGTGTTCGAGAAAGCATCTATAACTAGTATCATAGTTGACTGGGTGACAAAATAAAAGTGTGAATTACCCCGAGGGGGGGGAATACATGACCATCGTGGATATGGAACTCTGGAGGCAAGATGTGGGTAAGCGCGGTTTGCTAGTCGGCAGGGATATTTGGTGGGAGAACAGGAGTTGGGAATCTTTTTGTGATAAGTTGCCTCTACGATCCCATGTATGAGCACACCTTGGATCAGCATACATATGGGCTAACCCTTCCGTCCAAGTGTTATCTATCCAAAGGGTCTCAAAGTGTGAGGCTAGAAACCAGAGCCTTGTGCTCGTTAAACAATGAAGTGTCGTGATCCTGCTGTAAGGCACCGCACGGTACGAGTACTCTTCCCCTCGCGAGATTGCGATGAGAGCTCAAACTTGGCCGGAAAGCTTCTAACTGCTGTTGCTAGTCTCAACATTCAGGATTTCCAGGTGACCCACAACTTCTACTACCGGTACTTGACAAACACCAAGCAGATAACACTATTCTGAGAGGGTAAGCAATAACCTCTCTGTCTAAATGGGTCAAGCCCCTTCCTAATAGCCCTGCTTCTGCGACAGCTCTTTTTAACAGTAACGACGGAGGATAACTATTTCGATCCAAATCTCGTTCAGAGTTCATTTCTCTCTTGCCAAGCCAGCATGCTTCGCAATAGTACTCATACCGGTACGGTACTTCTCAACACAAATCTTCCACACGCAGCCTAAGGGAAGAGCGAGAAAGAAAAGGAGAGAAAGAAACCGCCCCAACCTATTGTTAGGAGGATGCCAAATAGAGAGAGCACAGAATCCGATTCCCCTACTTGTCTTCTATCCTCCCAACACCCCCTCCTCTTCTCTTTCATGGATTCTGGGAAACCGATCCCAACATATCGGCATATCACACTGGTATTTATGGCCAAAATAGTTGACCACACTCACGGAATTCCTCCATACCACTTGTACAAATTTAGTTCTGACCAACGCTCCATCTCTACTAGCGCGGCCGAGTTGAAGTTGGGCACTTTACATAAGAGTAGTCATCTTAGGTGTCCAACTTCAACTCGGCCGCAAGAGTAAAGACCGCGGGGCGACAAAGTTACATACCGTATCCCCGCCCGTGCTAGGGCCCCACAGCACCATTCCTGAACCAGCTACTTACATTCACAAAACCTGAGGTTGACTGGCTTCTAGCGACGACAAGCTGCAGCCATCAATTTTGGTGTCATAGAGCGGTGCATGGTTGGATGGCGGTTGTGGAAGCTGCTTCGCTTAGTGCTCTAGCCTGTCGGTACTGGAGTTAACTTGTGATAATACCGGTACAAATGGAGGCAGTCCGAGTGCAGTATCTTAGTGGCCAACAGCATGCAGGGCATCGTTGGTTCCTTGGGCATCCGCTATGGTAAACTACATAAATTACCCTAACCCTGGTGTTTCTTCTGACCCTTCGGAAGCCACTTTGAGGAAGAATACCCGGTTCATTACTTTCGGAATTTGAATGCCGTGGATCATTCCAAAGAACATTTCCCTCACACACCATTAAATCTATTATACCGGTAATAATCAATGAACGGCAGCTCTACTGGCGGCCAGAAGAAACAAAAAGAGAGGAACTCCGAAATCCTCATATCCTTGCAGCCGCGGTTATCAGAAATCGCCCCGGGGAAAGTTTTTCCCATCCGGAGTGGAGGAAGGGACCGTTAACGTGAATTGTTCCTCTGTTTCCTCTGTTTCCTCTGGTCCTTCTGCTTGCACTTGGGCTTTAACTAGTACTGTCTATAGCTACAATGCGTGTTTATGCGTTGTAAGTGTTACAGTACGAATAGTCAGGGTCCACCTCACCGATCGCGAGTCGTGCCTGGAAAGAGCAAACCAAGGTAGCCGGCTTCTTACTTCTTGCTTTCTCAACATCACAACTTCACCAGATAGCAAACAGATAAGTTGCATACCGGTACTGCTACCAATGAAGTTGTCGGGTTGGACTTTAGGCGCTGTAACCCTCCCCGGATGCCTTGCAGAATGGTAGAGAGGCACAGGCGTGGAATGTAAGTTACCGCTCTACCCTACCCACAAAGTCGAGGCCTTCTCGAGACTTGAATCCCAAGTCTTGGTTGGAGAACTTTGGGCACTTACCATACTCGGATTCCCCAGCAGCTCGACTGACCTAAGTTAAGCCTTGCGTCAAACTCCATAGCCACCATCGCAAGCCATAATATATGCGTCGCTTGCTGATCTCCATTGCTGGTTCTAGGCCTCAAGACGTGAGGTCCAATCAGTCCCCGTGATCGAACATCGTTTCTTGCCGAAACTCCCACTTTGTACCGTTGGGATTGGGGAGGTCTTGTTAAGACGGTCGTAGCTTGGACCGCCCTTGTCAAATGTGCACTAGTGCTCCGTGGCTCAACATTTCACAGTCTCAAGAGCAGTTCGCAGGCCTTCGTTCACACTTCTGTCTACCGGTAGTTTGCATTAGCGTGAATAGCAAAATTTGCAACCCACACCAAGTTCTGGACTGTGCGTAGTAGAACTTGTAGTGTTCGGGCCTTGTTGCAACACATCTACCCGAACAACTCGCCGCGAGATAAGCACCGTAGCGAAACCTCCTGTTTGTGGAGGTTCCTAGTTCTTCCCTATTGAGGTGCGAGCCCGGGTTCGCAAACAATGATCTGGTGTTAAGATAGCCCATTTATTAGGCAGGTAGCCTAGTACTAGCTGAACCCAATCATGGGACCAGGGGCCAGCCCCATTGATTGAACAGCGGTTGACCTCTACATCGAGCCATCCTGCATTATGATACTCACACAGTCCGAGGCCGCTCGATCATTTGAACATACAAGCATTTCTCTCATTAGATTCTGCCCGATGGTTGAGAATCACTCTCGCTCGTTGATGGCCTTGATACTGAGAGCTAAGACCTGCTTGTGCATCGGCGATTTGCAGAGCCGCCGCTCTCTATCATAGCCACTTGCCCGGACATCGCCTCAAGGGCGCTGCCCTCAATGCGCCAACCGCCGCCATCTTTGAGAGACCGCCTCGTCCGCTTTTTAGTGTTGAAATATTTCTCCCTAAACGAATCAGCGCCGCCCAGCAGCATCTGCCCCGGCGGGAGCCAAACATCCATGCCGCCTCCAACAATTCTCTAGCCATCAGGCTTTCCACCTGGTACTAAAGGGTGCGGAAACCGATCAATTACTACAGCGCATCCGGGGGGGCAGAGGAAAGGCGGGTTATGATACACCAGCCTCTGGAAGCGTGCACTCATGGGTTCCCGACGTTTTTGAACACGGCTGCTATTGCATAAGGGCAAAAAAATCGGCCGGAGCCTCAAGATTTTGATGGCATGCAATAGCAGCGTGTTCACAAACATCCGAAGATTACTGGTGCGGTATGATATCACAGAGTAGCACAGAATGCACCATCGGTTAAACTACGGTACTCTCCCCATCTCATAGTAATTAGGTTCCCTTGGAACCTTTCCAGTCGCCATGCCATTACCTGTCCGTGGGCATAAAACATCCATGCAGCGACACCCGCACCAGAATGTCAATATATCTTGTATGTCTGATTCACTCTTGAGGCGTCCCGATAAAGTCAGGTGAAGCCCCAGGGCCGCAGCCGTATGGAGCTCCTAGCTTCTGTTTACGCTGCGGGTCTAACCAGGACGGATCATTTTACCACCTACGTAGCATCGCGAGAGCAGTTGCCACGGTACGGATTTAGACGTGTGTTTTTTTGGCCATAGCCTGGTGGTATTTGATACTGTATGGTAATAGAAGAACAACACACAGCGGTGGGTTTCACCCATTACGAATCACATACCGGTAGATCAGATGAGCTCCTTAACTGAAGATCGTTTGGAATATTTGCCGCCCTAGATACATGTCATATTCCCATCCCTCTGGGGAGGTACGGTACGGTGATATTGTGATGCTACCGGTACTACTCTGTACTGTACTTTATGTCTCGTTACTACTTTCCTTGAGGGAGAGGTAGAAAACATAAATACTGCTAGGTTGGGAATACCGTTAGGGGAATTGCGTGCATTGGCACCTGGCACCATTGTGGAGCATCGGCATAGTACTTCACCACGTTTAACATCCCTCTTGTCTTGAGTTTGATCTCCACAGTACGAACTAGATGGGGTAGCTCCGAAGACGTGCTTTCTACGTTCGAAGATCCTCTATTCATAGGCACATAACGCCTTGATCCTGCGGCTAATCACCATTCAAGTTTGTGAACCCAGAATTGAGTGGTGGGGCTCGAGGAGAGCTCCTTTTTGGTGACCAAGGAAAGGGCGTATGATACGATATCATACATTTTGGTCGGATCATTTCGAAGGTGAAACCCTGAAAGAAAGCTATTGCAACCACCCTTTGATTTGCCCCTCCTCCTCTCCCCTCTTCAGTCGTAAGTTGAACCATCGTGGCCCGACTCGGATTGGAATTGCTGCATATT